AGTGAGTGAGTGTGCGAGTGAGTGAGTGTGCGTGTGCGCGAGTGAGTGTGTGTGTGTGTGTGCGCGTGAGTGAGTGAGTGTGTGCGCGTGAGTGAGTGAGTGAGTGAGTGTGTGCGTGCGTGAGTGCGAGCGAGTGAGTGTGATTGATTGATTGATTGATTGATATCATAAACACTCTGGGTCACATTTCAGCTGCTTTTCCCAAGATCCACGTCATAATATTTTGGAGAAAGGTGGCCGTTCTCTAAGGTTTGATGCTTCAGACGGACGCGCTGCTTACTAGTTTTGTAAAGTTACTAATCGCAGATTTGACAAGGGAATTTTTAAAAAAAATTTTGTTAGAGATTTTACACTCATTCTCAGTCTTAAGTAAAGCCTCAAGCGGTTGAGTTTATCTGAAGGGTTAGTTTTGGTCAGCTGGTGTTGAATTTGACCTGCGGACTAGTCATGACCCGCTGAAGCTGAATTGGACTTCAGAGTATTACCATAGTCGACCCGGCATATCAAAGTGCCATAATAGCTTTAAAATGCTGCTAATCATGTATGTTGATGGAAATGAGAATCGGTTTCAATGTGAGGCCGCGTCAGGTTCATTTCTGCAGGTTTTCTGATCACATATGAGAAGAGATGAGAAGATATACAAGTTGCATGGGAAACGCCACTATTTTTAAAAAGCCTTACCAGATATTAGATCATTTGCAAAACTTCTTTTACGAGATATAATTTAGGTAATTAATAAATCCACGCTGATATTCTTTGACATTTTGCTGCTTTGTGCAAACGTGTTTCCAGCAGATCTGAGCCTGATGCATCCGACCGGATCCGTGACTGTCAGTCAAAGCTTTTGTTTGTTTAATTTGCTACCAAACTCCATCAGGTAACGATCTGTCTGATCTAGCTTCTCATCCTTGCAGCAGTCAAGAGGAACATAACAACTAGTTGCGCAACTTCCTGAAGAGATGCAAAGGAAGCAAACGGAAGCTTGTATGTGTTGGATCTCAATGTGAAAGGTTAACAGTGGCCACCCGGATGATCATAAGGGGTTTTTTAATGATTTAGAGATATTGTGACATTCCATATGTGTAAAAAAACTATGTACAGAGATAATGAGATTAAAAAAAGCTAAATCTTTTGAAGCACAGATCTTTACATACTTGTCTGGATGTCCCTCTGTGTGTGTGTGTGTGTGTGTTTGTTTGTGTGTGTGTGAGAGAGAGAGAGAGAGAGATTTATTTGCAATGTTTTAATCATCTACTTGACTACAATGACTGAATGCATGCAATAATTTCTCAGATTGATAAAAGCACCATTATAAATGTTCAAGTGTCGCTCTTTTCAGAGCAAATACATGAATCTATAAAATTTATTAAAAATCCTGATAACACTTGAAGCCTATGTATAATGCATTATAAGACATTCATAATGTGTATTGTAATGCATTATATCTTTTTATTAATAATTGTAACCAAAGTTAAAAATGCATTATAATATTTGCCGATTCCTTGTCATGTTCCTGGGTTGTTTGTTGTGTGTTTTAATGCATTTTACTTTCTAAAGGTGTAACAATGAACAAAGTATTGTACAATTATCAATGAGACCATGCAATGCATTAGAAGGTGCATTACAATGCATTAAAAATATTTTAAAATGCATTATATAAAAAGTAGGGATGCACTGATATCACTTTTTCCAGAACGAGTCTGATACCGATATTTTCATTTTTGGTACTTGCCAAAACCATACCTGTATTTTCATTGCATTTATAACATTTAAAAACACTGGGTAGAGAAACCAAATTATATTTTCTAAAATATAAGTTGCGTTTTTTATTATCTGAAATGTGCTGCGACTTGTATATTCCAAAGCGACGTCAAGCAAGCCAAACAGTTGTGTTGGTGCAGAATGAGAGACACATAAAGCCCGGCACATTCACACAGGCTGCGAGTTTCACTTAAGCTTTAAATGAAGTTGTATACGATTGACGTGTAAAATGTTGTTTATAGTGAATGCCCCTATAATTTGTTTGTTTTTAGTCCAAATGATGCATGTGCTAATGGAACGAACCGCAATCAAGATCATGCAACAGTGCGCGCGCTCTCCCTCGCTCGCTTTCTCTCTCCTTACTGTCCGTCAAGTAGCTTTTAGTAACTTGTGCATTCGTTTACTTACTTGCTTTTGACATTCCCGGCCGATCTATAAACTTTCCAGTGCTGTCTGTGATATTCACTCGACAAGCTCGCGCATCTGTGCTCAATCCACTACGCTTATTAGCTCGCGCACATCAGCTATACAGGCGTGAATGTTTAACATTATATTGATTACATACATGCATAGATATCCTTAATCTCTAATAACTCCATTCTGCTCTGTTTGTTCTGTTGTCGGTGGTTCTTTGTCTGGATACAGCACTCTTCACACGCCGTGTGCTTTTGGTATTGGAGCGTTTTAATGAGTACAGGAGTGCAGTATCGGCCCGATATCGGTATTGTATCGGTGCATCCCTATTAAAAAGTATTCCCAAAGAGTTTAATCTAAGTATGATTGTATAAAACCTGCGTCAGAGCGACAGTAATAAACCTGAAAGCCTTGAATGGGTTTTGCCTTCACAGCCAGTGGTGCTTCTGATACTGAAGTAAACCAGTGTCTGTGGAATGACA